CCAGACATTGCCAAATATTCCCTGAGGGACAAAATTACCCTATCTAGAATTTGAGGCCATGAGTGAATTGACAAAATGACAGAAATAAATTTCACAAGATAATTTAGAGTCCAAAGCTAGAGAGTCAATACGTAGAATCTGAATTCTGATACACAAACAAAAGAATGTGGGATATAAGATAGATTATTTTGCCAATATAAAACATGAAACAGTAAACCATTGGTTTCACTAAGATGTGAAACACTGGCTGAAGTAAGAAGGGAAGGGATAAAAAAAAAACACAATATACTTCAAAATGTTGAGCAAGATTGCTAGAAAGAACACTCTAAAAATATTATATGCCACTTTTTTGTGAGTGCTCAAGGAAATAAAACCATAGTTACATTTGCTATTTTCCTTATTTAGACGACCATCTGGCAATCCACACTTTCACTAGAAAAAAATTCTAGCCAATTGGACTAAAATAGTTAATGTACCACCCCATGAATCAAAAATACACCACGAGTCTAAAGTTTGCTCAGTCATGCCCCAGAAAGGAAGACACTAATATCTTTAAAAGACAAAAGTAAATAACTCACAGCACATTTATCCAACTGGAAAAATTTTCTTCCTACCTTGGGGCACACAGAGCCAAAAAGTAGCAGGAGGAAAAGCACAACAAAAGTAATTTTATAAATAGGTAAACTCATTCATTAGACACTAACTTGTTTCCAAGACACGTGGAGGTGAAAAAAAAAAAAAAGTCTCCTAATGGAATACAGAACACAACTGACTAATGTTACTCTATTTCTAGCATCATAGGAATTGGTTCAGAATGAGTAAATATGGTCCAAGTACACGAAGTTCCTTTAATACTCCTTAAGAAAGGAAGTATAAAGATCCTACATATAATTAATATAAGATTTATCACCATAACTGAATCTGTGACTACCTCCTTTTTCTTAATTCCAAAAGTTGAAAAAAGAAAAGTCCAGACAAGTCCAGACCAGCAAATCCTTTGAGTTATCTTTCACTAATCCATAAGCACAGGCTATGCTACCAAGAACTCATAGTCATCAACAGCTGAATTATAATTATCAAATATGAGAATAAGTAGAACATCAGATACCACTGTATAAACACAAATTGTATGTTTTGAATTATTTAACAAATATTCATGGGGAGCAGGACAGACACGGTCCTAGCTGGCATGGAGCTCAAACCCTTGTGCAAGAATTCTAGTCAACCCATCAAACATTTGGGAAGAGCAATGCTATGAAAAAAGAAGCATTAAACTCAATCTCTGTTTTCAAAAAGAGCTAACACCCAAGGGAAAAAAGTTAATAGAGAAAACAGAGGAATTTAAGTATAATTACTATTCTTACAGAGATTGAAAGCATATTGTAACTTTAAAAATAGATACGAGAAAATTTTGAGCAAACATTCACATTTAGACACATCTTTATAAAATCCCAGAACACCAAAAATAAGCCACATGTGATGGTACACACGTATAATCCAAGCAGCTCAGGAGGCTGAGGCAGGAGGATTGAGAGTTCAAAGCCAGCGTCAGCAAAGCAAGGCACTAAGCAACTCAGTGAGACCCTGTCTCTAAATAAAATACAAAATAGGGGTGGGGATGTGGCTCAGTGGTCCAGTGCCCCTGAGTTCAATCCCTAGTACCCGAGAGAGAAAGAAAAAAAGAAAGGAAAATCAAAGATACAGAGAAAATTCTGAAGACCATCAAAGTCAGAATGAGTATAAGAAATTTTCAGATATTCAAGGACTAACTATAATCCAAGTTTAAAAGATGTATTGAAGAATATACTTGATCAAATTAAAAAATGAAACAAAAAATATTGAATGAAAAACAAATTGCAGAAAGATGGGAGTTTAGTATCATTTATAAATCATGTTAAAATACATAAAATAACATTACATACTTTTATAAAAAATATGGTACAGGACTTTGGCTTAGAAAAGAGGAAGGAAGAAATGCAGTCCCCTTCATTAGAATCACAGATGATGTTGACATAGGGAAGGGAGTAAGCCAGAGGAGAAATGTGAAACTTTACGTCCTTCTTGTTCTAGTGAAAAGTAGGGATATTAAATCTAAATATAAATAGTAAAGTATATTAAAATTTTAAAATTAACCATTAAAAATAATTTTGGAATTACTTTTTATTTCCAAATCATCAGGGGAAGGAAATGACCCCTTAGCATACCATGTGCAATTATCTCAATAATCACAATAATTGTGAAATAATTAAATTCACTATTAAGATAAAGAGGCAATCACATTGGAGTTTTAAAATGTCCAGCTACATGCAGTTCACAAAGCATATAATAATGAAACATGTACCTAAGATAAAATGACATAAAACAGGTAAAAATAAAGAAATGCAAAACAATTATAACAAGTCAATAATCTCTTTAAAATTAAATATAGCAGTATTAACACAAAGCAAATTAAATGAAAGAACTTTGCATTGAATGGAAAAGGAACAAAATTTTCTATTGACAAAATATACAATCAGTCAAACTGTAGCATTTCAAATCTTTAATATCTATTAAGTTAACTTCAAAAGAAAAAATACAAAAACATATGAAAACCAGAAAAAATGACTTCCATAATCAGTGTAAAATTTAACATACCTTTTCAAAAGTCTACATTTCAAATAAGTAGTAAAGATGAATATAAAGGATTTAATAAAATTGACTATGTAAATCTACATTACGGCGTGTGCACACACACACACACACACACACATACACACGCCAACAGAAAATATAATTAATAAACAGTTTAAAAGTTAACCACATCTTAGGCCACCCAAAAAGTCTCAAAAGCATAGAACACAAATCATATTCTCTGAGTGTACCTCAATACCATAAAGAGAGTAGATTAAACCTGTTTCATTAAGACTGGCATCAGATAGGGAAAAACCTAAATGATAAGAGGGTATGGAAATGGGCATTTAAGAAAATATTAGGAGGGATTATAAATTTGCATTGTCATTTTACAAAACAACTTGAGATTATCTATAAAAATTTTAAATGTGCATACCTTTTGACCCAACAATTGTACCTCTATAAAACCCTCTTATAAAAAAACCTACATATAATCATAAAACAAATATACAACAGTACATAGTCCAACATTAATTATAACAGCAAAAAGTAATCAATAGTAAAATGGTCAAGTGATTTATACTATACTCATTTCATAAAATGTCAAGCCTTGATATGTAAAGAATCTCCAAGAGAAAGTGTTTTGCTCTTTTAAAAAACATATGTATCATTTAGATTTTGTTAAGACGCAAAATGAATAGTAAGCAATGTGGAAGATTGCAGAACAGTTTACATCTGGAGAGGCATATGATGAAGAACTTCACATTTTAGTTTACATGTCTCTCAGTATTTGAATCTCTTATGATTCGCACTGCTTGCTTAATTAAAAAAAAAAGATGAAAGAAAAGCAGTAATTGTTTTAAATGTCTTATTTATGTCCCAGAAAAAAAAAAAAAAAACTGGGATCTTTCTGTTCCTAGCAGAAATTTGATAAACCCATCTGAGAACAAGTATAAACTTTCAATCCATCCAATAAAATACTTGCTGTTTCCTTTGTTAAGGAACAGACAGATAAGGATGGTGGGAACACAAGGTTAAGAGAATAATTCTATAAAACAGGCCCACTGTGCTTACCCCACGTGCTTTCTTTTCCAAGAAGTAATTTACCTGCAGTCCAGCCTGGCTTAAGTGGATAGGATATGTCACATTCCTCAGCAAACTACCTGTTAACTGCAAGAAATATGCAGACCCAAGATGATGTTGATGGGAGGAACCCAGACTTTTGTGATCAGATCCTGAAACTCTAGGAGACAGGATAGTGCCTCCTGGTTAAGAATCCAGTTAGAACCAGTCAGTATGGCCCAAGGTGACCTAGAGTTGCCATAGCAATGGATACTTGAAAGTCTGATGTCCTGTTGCTGTTAGTCAAAAGTCAAAAGGTCGTCCTGGGTGGGACTCTCTGGAAACTTCTCTGGGATCCCCAATAAAATTGGAGTACAGGAGAAGCATGTGGTCCCTCTCCTCTCTTAGAGGACCCATTTTCTCCCTTGAGAGTGTCCCCTTTCCCTTTTCCTATGCCTTCAATAAACTTATTCCTGTTACTCTAAGCAACATGTCTGAAATCTTGCTGACTTAATTACAAGAATCAGGGTTTGATGAGAGGGTCTTCGAGTTGCCTCAGTTTCTTGGAAGGCCCTCACTCTGTAACACCTTCACTAGGAACACTCTACCCTTGGCCATGGCTCACCATTTCACATCCTTCAGATTTTCCACTTAAATATCATTTTTTTCCCCTGAGGAACTGTCCCTGACTTTTCAATATAAAATGACAATGGCCTATACCCATCCAACACTTCACTGCTTCCTTATCTTAATTTATTTTTTTACTAGAATAACATACCACCCACTTCTTAGTATCCTTATCTTTATAAGGGGGATAACAGTCCTACTCCCAGGGCTGTGTCTACCCTTAAGAGAACTGTAAGCTCAGGTGAGTTTAGATGAGTAATGGACACACACACACACATACAAAAAAAACCAGATAAGCCTTTGACTTTTTTGTTGATGATGGTTTTGTTTATTGTCTGCTTTCTCCCCTTTGAATGACAACTCCTGAGGCAAGGACTATGTCTATTATTGTATCCTGAATGACTGGAAAGTGCTTACCAGTAAGTATTCACGATTGTTGAAGCCTAATCTAGTACTGTAGTCTATATACAGACAGCTGAGATTACAAGAAAAGACCAATTACTTTCAGTAAAAGCAAGATTTCTGCATGTTAGCATGAATCATCTGTAATAACTCAATCTACTTTAAAAGCATATTTAGCAGCATGATTCCTAGAAATTTCGAGAAGCAGTATAGTAACATTAAATTCATTAATTTTTTTAACACCAACATGACAACAGAAGCTAAAACAGTGTGGAGTGGGAAACAAAAGCAAAACTCACTTTTCATCTCCACTTCTGAGGCATGGCTGGTAGAGGACCTTGATAGCATTCCAGGCAGAACTGAAGCCTGCTTTTAATGTATCTTCCAAAAGGGGGAACTTTTTGATATGGTCGGAACTCAAAGATTCAATCACCACACTGTCTGAGTTTAAAAGCCAGAGCTAAAGGTGTGAAGAGAAAAATCTACGTATGAGGATATTGCCACCCTATTTGTATTTTAAGCCACTATTAAAAAAAAAAAACTATTCAAAAAAAATAGAGGGGAACCATGCACATAATTTCAAAATAAGGTAGGCTTTTCAAAGCATGACATTTAATAGTGCAACCAACATCATAAAGTTAAAAAAAAGACAACTAATGAGGAGAAAATATTCAATATATAAATAACAATGTAATTATCTATAATCTATAGATATGTAGCTTCTGGAAATCAGTAAGGGGCAAAAATAGCCCAATATAAAAATAGGCAAAGAATAGTAACCAAATTAACAAGGAATGTAATAAATGAAAATTAAAACGTCAATAGCACTAATAATAAGGAAATGCAATATTTCAATGCCACTATTTTTTACCTATGAGATTAGATAAAAAAAATATATTGTGAAGAGATTGGTAACAACCATCTCAGAATGGGTTTGGAATGAGTATTCCCTATGTGCTAATGGAGGAGTGTTTGGGGATGCAGAGATATGTGATTCACTGAGATACTTTCAGGAGAACAGGAAAATATGAGGGCAAGACCTGCAAGGATGCAGAATGCAAGCTCAGCAGGAGTTGGGCTTCAGCCTGATCCCATGGGGAGATCCTGAGCTTGAATTATACCTACAAAATTGGCCCCACCTTGAGGCCAAGGCCTCAGCTTTTTGTGGCCCAGATTCAAATCACTGGCAGGCTGACCAGGGCAGGAATGGGTATGGGGCAGTAAGAAAAGGAAACCTCCTCAGGAAGTCAACATCATTATCCGAGGCAAGTTTCTGGAAAAGGGAACATCTATGAACTATTGGCATCCAACACTGTCAGCAGCTGGGAATGGGTGTAGCAACCCAGTCAACCAGATCTGAGTGGGGCACCAAGAACATCCATTGTAAAAGAACAATAATAGTGCAATGTTTTACAAGGTGATTACCATCTGAGTTTATATCATACAAATCCAATGCTGTATTAGAGTAGAAAGATTCATTTCTAAAGAAGCACTAAAATGCATGTGCAAAGATTTTTTGTAGCATGTCTTTTATAATTGTACAATGGAACTCATTCATTAAAGAGTAAGACCTATATTTACACTAACAAAAAATAATCCTTAATGATCTATTGTTATGAGAAGAAAGCATGTTACAAAAGAATTCTGATCATGTCATACTGTTTCACTTTCATAAACAAAGTTGTATATGGATAGAAAAATATTAACGTTCACACATCAGACTATTAAGATAAATTACCTCTAGAAAGCACTATGTGATGGGGAGGAGAGGGGACAAATGGGGAAGTTAATATTTCTTTATGTTCTTCATGTTGTCTGAATGTGTTTCAAGAATGTATTATTTCCATAAAAAGGAAATTTTAAAAAATTTAAATATCTATTAGAAAAATTTTAAAGTTCCTACTCCTGATGTTCAACTTAAAAATCTTACAAGAAAGGAAAACTAGACCTGTGTTCAGACTTTGACTATGAAGTTACCATTACATTGTTATTTATGTATTTATGATTGAATATCAACTGAAGTTGGAAAATATATTAGCCTGCCACAGAAGTTCTCTGGAAATAGAGAAGCACAGAGTTCCCAAAAATGGATGGCCAGCAGCAAAATCATACATAACTCTACCCCAGGCCAAGGCATTCTTGTTCTACCTTAAGCACCTAGAACAGTGCCTTTCAAATATGAAGTGTTTCATGTATATTAACTGGTTGAATAAAACAGATGTACAGACAGAGGAGACTTGGTTCATGATGCTTTGGTTTTCAGATAAATGCCCCAGATTCATTTCGGCAAAGCATTATTTTTAATAGAGGTAGTGTAATATTAGACCCTTGTGGTATACGTAAGGGATGAGTCCTAACCACAGAGCCTTTTCTCCCAAACTTGCCACTTTCTCAAACATCAAGATGTCAGAGGTAATTAAAAAATAACAGAAGCAATAAAACATATTTTAAAGTTAAGAGTATCAAATAGCCCAGTAAGGGAAAAAAAGTATCAAATAGAAAGAAAAAGAAATACAGACAGAATGGTGTTATACTGACCATTAAAAACAGAGTGAAAACCCTTATTTTGTGTCTGAGCTACTTACGGGCAGTAATTAGGTTTTCTTTCCTTCTGTATCCCTAGAACCTAATACATGGAAGTACCCAATCATTTGTCATAAAGTTAAGGAAGGTTGACTTATGAATTAAGCTGATATTAAATATTCAATTCTTGATCACTTAACTTCTAGACCTATGAACTAAGAAAAAATAAAAACAAAAGAGAAATTTTCTGAGATCTTGGATTACTAGGCTACAAAATAACTGGAATGATTTCTTACCAAGATGTACACTTTACTATCCTGATCTTGAATAGTGAATCTAAAAGTGCTTCTAGCAGAGGAGAGTTCCACCAGACACTGGGCAATAACACTCTGGACAAACTGAGACCTGTTTGAACAGAAATCAATTATTATCCAAAGTACAGTGACTCTCATAATAACTCTAGTAAGATAAGCCAAAATTACATATAGGGTACCTAAAAGGAAGAAACATCAGCATCCCCGACTTTTCTATCCACTGCCCCTTCCCTCACAATCTGAGGTAATGTGGATTTTAGTGTATTTATGTTTGCTCCATTCTTCTTAAAATCTATTCTCCAATTAGTAATACAGTTGCCACCCCAAATTACCGATTCCTCTCTATTGAATAAAAAAATACCATGTTAGTGATAGTAGATATTCCATTGATGATATACACATTAAATAGTGGATAGCTAGGTTACAAAAGAATGTGAGAAATTTCCTTCCAAACATTGTATAAACTGCATTTTCTTTTTTCATTTAGATCTCCTTAAAGTGACAGCTCTATGGTTCAGAAAATATTTATAGAATGATAAAATACAAGTTTATGTTCAGGTTGCCATAATTTTTGGATATCATAGATATACTAAAGACTGTCTATGGTTAACTTTTGTTTGCAAACCAGAAAAGATTAAAAGAAAAGAAAAATTAATAGATTTAGAGGCTGAAGATCTTTTATTTTGAAACACAGAAATAATTTGAAATGGATCTATGTTTCAAATTTCAAATAGGTCAAATGAAAACCAGAAATAATTTTTCAAAAACCCATTGATGCCGGTGTGGTAGCACAGGCTTGTAATCTCAGCAATTGGGGGCTGAGACAGTAGTATTGTAAGTTCAAAGCCAACCTCAGCAATTTAGCAAGGCTCTAAGCAACTTAGTGAGACCCTGTCTCATAATAAAAAATAAAAAGGAGGGCTGGTGTTGTGGCTCAGCGGTAGAACACTCGCCTAGCACATGCAAGGCCCTGGGTTCGATCCTCAGCACCACATAAAAAAATAAATAAATAAAGATATTGTGTACAACTAAAAAAATAAAATACTAAAAAATAAATAAATAAATAAAAAGGATTTGCAGGTAAATGGATGGAGTCAAGAGAAGATAATGCTAAATGAAGTTAGGCAATCCCAAAAAATCAAATGCCGAATGTTTTCTGTGATATAAGGAGGCTGATTCATAGTGGGATAGGGAAGGGGAGCACGGGAGGAATAGAGGAACTCTAGATAAGGCAGAGGGGTTGGAGGGGAAGGGAGGGACCATAGGGTTATTAATGATGGTGGAATGTGATGATCATTATTATCCAAAGTACAGGTATGAAGACACGAGTTGGTATGAATATACTTTGTGTACTTTGTATGAAAAATAGTGCTCTATATGTGTAATAAGAATTGTAATGCATTCCACTGTCACATATAAATAAAAAAAATAAAAAAGGTTGGAGATTTCATTCTGTGATAAAGTACCCCTGAGTTCAATGTCCAGTACCTAAAATAAACAAATAAAAATCAAAAAAACAAGAAAAAGATTGATAATTATGTTATAAAATTCTGAATCTCTGGAACATAGAAAGAAGCACAAAAAACTTTCAGAATTAGAAGATTTATATGAACATATTTACATATACCATATAAGCAAAACATAAAGAAATAAAACCTCAAATTGTTTATATGTGTAGTTGGGCTCAAGTATTTCAAAACTTTCTCTAAGGTATTTCCCCTTTCCAAATAAAGAAAATTATTAATAAAAATGAATTCTTAATCAATTGTACTTACAAAATTACATAATAAATTTAATTTGCTGTTTGTACCTTGGTATGATAGGAAAACTTCTCTCAGATGGTTGAATAATTATCTCTGTCATATAAAACTTAGTGGTTTCTAGAAACAAAAAAAAAAAAGAAAGAAAGTTAAGAATCTTCCCAATATATTAATATTTTTATTGTGGGTGTGTTGGTCCCAAATTATGACATTCCAAACTAAATATTCAATTATAACCATTCAGTAAACATTTTTTACAAAATGATTTTGTATCAATAGAAAAAGCACTGATGACTAAAAGAAGATATTTCTGAGATCAAACAACACAGTGTCTGTTTAGAATGTCATGCTCAAATGTGAATCTGTAGCAGCAAAACAGTTCACACATACAAAAGGTTATAAAAATTAGTCACATCACAGTTTTAGCCCATTTCCATAAAAATTAGGCATTGGATTTCCTCATTTCTACTGAGTAGTCACAAATCTGAAAGGCAGTGAAAAAGACTTTTCAGTTGTAGAATCCAAAAGCCCATGCACAGATGCTATATATAATCCTGATAGCAGTATTTACTCAGAATGTCACTGACTTTATCCATGTACAGTTCTCACCAAAGCTGTTTATCTGATTACTTAGTTTATGTAAACAGTAGGCCAGATATTCAATAACCATTTTGGGTTACTTTAGAAAAATCCATTAAAAATGTTTTATTAACGAGGGACATCCAAATCAAAACAAGTATTTTTTAGCATCAAACTATTTTAAATGATAAGGTGTAGTACCAGATGGGCTTATAAGAAATGGATATGCTATCATAACTAAAGATGATAGATTTCTTAGAAGCAAAAGGCCTAAACTTTTGTATATATATTTGACACCATAATTAAATACTTAAGAATTATTTTAGCTGGGTGTGATGGCAAACACCTGTAATCTCAGCAATGGGGAGGCTGGAAGATCACAAGTTCAAGGGCAGCCTCAGCAATTTAGCAAGATCCTTAGCCACTTAGCACAACCTTGTCTCAAAAAAAAAAAAAAAAAAGAATAAAAAAATCTGGGGATGTAGCTCAGTGGTAAAGAAATATCAATAAAATATGTAAAAATTTATCTAAAGATGATCATAATAATATTAGAAAAATGCTGAAAACAAATTAAAATTTGTTTTAATTTGTCTAAAAGTTAAGGATGAATTAAATAATTGTATATTTGGCAACAGAATTACATGCATGTTTTAAATAGGCCAAATTAAATAATTAACAACTTTAATAAGTCAAATTATTCCTAGTAATTTTTTTAAGAAGTTCCAATTACTCAATATAACAAAAGGGCAAAAAAATTTAAAATGCTTTACTTATTATTATATATCTAAATGCCACAGTTACTATTGTTGTTGTTCTATACAGTTAATATTCATTTCATGTCATCCAAATACTAACTACTTTCTTACCAATCTTTCTTAAATTTATCTGGGGTCATTTTCTTCTACCTGCCTACAGGTAGAATTTTTCTTACCAAGAAGCCACTAGTGGTAAATTATCCCAGTTTTTGTCTTTCAGAAAACATATTTATCTTTGCCTTCTTTGTTGAAGGATACTTTCACTTGATATAAAGTCCTAGGGTTAACGGTTATTGCTTTGTGCACATTGACAATATCATTCCACTGTCTTCGAATTTCCCATTACTGGTGCCTGTTTGAAGGTTATCTGTCATTTTTCTTTGGTTGCTTTTAAGATTTTCTCTTGGCTTTTCATTCTCCAGTATTACTGGGATGTATCTAGGTATAGACTTCTTTTCATTTCTTACTTGGGCCTCCATGAATTGGAATTCATTGTGCCTCTTGAATCTGTAGATTGTTGTTTACTTTTACAAAATTCTCAACTGTTCAAATATTGCCTGTATTTCACTCTTTTCCTCTGTCTGGAGGGTAGACTTTCATCCATCTTCTGTCCATTAATTCTTTCCAAGTTGTACCTGCTTTGCTATTAAACCAGTCTCTGAATTTTTAATATCAATTATAATACAGCATGTTTTTAGAAATTCCATTGTGGCTCCTCTTCAAAGATACATACTGTTATTGTTTGCGTTTTCATTGTGCTATCTTTAAATATGTCTTTTACATTGTTAAATATACTAAGCAGTATTCTTTTATATTTTACTTATGATAATTCCAGTAAAAGCTTGTTTCCATTGTCTGATATATTTGTTAGTTCTTAACTGATAGAAGTCTAGCTAACTTGTGTCCATATTTATCTCTGGTTATATGTTGAACACTGTACTTGAAAAATTATTTGTGAGAATAACACTATTTTTCCAATGAAAGTGTTCCCTCCAGAGGTGATATGCATTTGATTTTGCCAGGTACCTGCTATTCTGTCAGAACACACTGAATTCAAGATTTGAAATTCCCTAAAAACCCCAGGAATTGATACCTATTTATAATTCTACAGGACTGTTCCCCTTCTAACTCACTTCACTGTGAGGGGATGGTCTTTAGAATCTCATGTTTTTGTAGAGACAATCACCCATTAAATTTCCCATCTTGTGTAGTCTTTCATTTCTGTCCTTCCTTCTCAAAGCAATCAAAACAAAAGTTCTAATTATAGAAAACAGGCAAACTGCAGAAAAATGTGACTTGAATTTTGTGTGTACCTCTTTTGAATCTGCTTTTGTGGTAATTTATCCTTATATTTTCCACTTCCCCTGCTCTTTTTTCCTTCTTGAGTATTCTAGTTACCATCTGGTACCTTTTGCTTCAGCCTGAAGAATTTCCTTTAAGATTTTTTTTTTTTTCTTAGAGCAGGTCTGTTTGTAACACATTATTACACATGTTTTATCCAGGCACATCTTTATTTTTTAAAGACACTTTTGCTGGATACAGTATGGTTGGTTGACAGTCTTCTTTTGATGGGAGGGGTACCAGGGATTGAACTCAGGGCACTTGGCCCCTAAGCCACATGCCAGACCTTTTTTTTAAAAAAAAAATATTGTATTAGGGACAGAGTTGCTTAGCACCTTGCCATTGTTGAGGCTGCCTTAGACGTCCACCTTAATTGTATCATAAAATCCCTATTTATGATGTTTTGTTTTGCTCCTGTCAAACTTTCAAGATTCTTTCTTCCTCATTAATTATCAGAAATTTCGCTGCTTGAGGTTCACCGAAATTCTTAGATCCCAGAGTTAATATTTTTCACCATAATTGCCAAGATCTAAGCCAGTTTTTTTCTGTAATTATTTTTCTGACCCTTTCTTTTTCTCCTTACCTTCTGAGAGTCCACTTATACACTTGTTGTAACACTTGATATTGTCCCTCAGATCTAAGGTCCTATTCAGAATTTTTCCTTTGGACTGGTTAATGAGTATTAATCTACAAGTTCAATAATTTTTTATCTTCTGTTGTCTCAAATCTATGGTTTAGATCATCTAATGAATTGTAGTTTCAGTTATTACACATTTCAATTTTAAAATTACCAATTTGCTTTTTCTTTGAAGTTTCCAACTTGTTGATATTTGTTATTTGTTCATTCAAGGACTTTTCTCTTTTAATTCCTTACCATATTTATATAGCTACTTCAACATATTATTCTGCTAAATACAACATTTGTATTTACTCAGCCTATGCAATCCTTTTTTGTTCCTTCAGTATGAATCATTCTTTCCTATTTCTTTGCATATATCATAATTTTTAGACAGAAGCAAGAAAATGTATGTAATATGTTGTAGCAGCTCTGAATTTTGTTTTGTTCTTCTGAGGATTGTTGGTTTAATGGTTTGGTGGTCAATTAACTGGCTTGAACTTACTGTGAAATATGTTCCCCCTGCCCCACAGTTTGTAGCTGCTAATGTCACTGCTAAGTTTTATTTTGTTTAGTCTGGCTCTCTAGAGTATCCACTGCCACTAAGGTGTCTCAGAAAAAAAGTGCTTTCTGTTGCTCAGGTTGTTTGTGGATTAAGGAATGCAATCAAAGGCACAGCAAATTCACAGGTCTAAGTTTTCAATTCTTATTGAAAATACATGCAATAAATACTTCCTGGCATCTATTGTATGCAGAGTTCAGTAGTCAGCCAGGCTTGTATGAAGAAGTTATTGTATTGGCCCTTCTATCACCCTTGATTTCAAAATATCCCCCCCTTAAATTTCTACTTTCTCTGTCACCTACTCTGAATTGAACTCAACACCTGTAAACAATACATTTGTAGGATTTCTCTGCCCAAGTTCCGGAGGCAAGAGACAGCAAGGCCTACTCTGTGGACAAAAAGATCACAAACTTGCCATTCTTTCCCAATGCAGTAGTATTTTTTCATGACTAAACACTTCTCAAATTGTTGTTTCACTTCGTTCATTTTCCAGTGCCATAATATTGATATTTAATAATTTGTTTAACTTGTTCAGTTTGTGCTTGCTTTTTGTGGTATAGATTTGTCCAACCTCTTACCACCACCATTTTGGGAAGTGTAATTCTATTGATTTTGAGTTGACGTGGATGTAGTTCTATTAAACCACCCCATATACACATACTCATATATTCTGATATTCTGATATACTTATGAATTACATCATAATGTATGGTTAAATGAATATCCAGTATTTACATTATTATGACCAAAAATGATATCCTGGCAAGTTTTCCTTTCTTGTTCTACCTTGTGTTTTTATTGTAGTAAATAATTGCTTCTTTTTTTCATTTGTTTAGTTTTCCAAGCAAGTTTAGGTAATTCTTCCCATATAATGAAATGGCTTGTCTCAATAATATCAACATTACTTTGTTACATGTGGAAAATTTTATTTATGATGGGAGATGGGAAAAGTCTTTATTACAATCCCCTCTCTCTCCTCACTTCAATCAGGCTGTTTTTCTGTGGTATAATTATACATCTCAAGGCATTTCTTACCTTGTTCCTCTATATTGGATAGCCTATTTTCCCAAACTCATATCATCCCTTTTTAGGTTGAATCCCTCATTTTTTTCCCCCGTAGGAATGATAGATTTCCAAGGAAAATATACCTTTTAAGTCTGTTTTGAAACCTTATTATCTCCAAAATAGATAATAAAATAAAATAAATAAATAAAATAAAATAATAAAATAACAAAGATAATAAATAAATAATCTTCACATCTGACTGATGATTTGATTTTGTAGAAAATTCCAGGTGAACTTTTTCACCCTCAAATTAGGAAGACATTGCTTGATTGTCTTCTAGCTTTCAGCTCTACTTTTAAAAATTTCCATGCTTTTCTAATTCCTAATGCATTATACACTAACTGCTTTTCCCCTTCTGGAAACTTCATCCTTATTGTTGTAAAGTTTCTCAGTGATAGTATTTCCCTTTTCTCCCTCCACTACTAGGGCACTCCATGATCCTTGTAGTTGAGGAACTGCCAAGCATGCTCCTAAATAATTTGCTTCTATGTCCTATTTATATTATTAACATTTCCTCTCCATTTCTCTTCGTCTTTGTAGATATACATCCTTGTATTCCTAAACTGTCGTTCTAACTGGACCTCCTCGGGGAGGAAAGAAAAGAATTTAAAAATCAATTCATCTTATTGAAAAACCTTAAATTGGAAACCTTAAGTTTTCTAAGGAGTTTCTTGTGAGGCTTGTTTTCATTCTCCAAAAAAACTTTGAGGATAGCATCCTTTTCTACTCACTTTGAATAAGTAATTACTTAAAAGACTCTGATGATTTAAACAAACAAAATATACCACCATCTGCTTTCCTTTAAGTACAATAGCTTCACTTACATTATATCTCCTAACTAATTATATTAAAAGTGATTATTCCTCACCTGCAAAGTTAACACAGCATGCTATAGCTCTCTAGACATTTTAAAACATATCTTTAAACAGCATTTTAATTATCAGGATTTTCATTATTATATTTAAAGTAGTATAACATAGAGTTTACATAAAATATAATTAACACCATTGGGAAAAAAGAATAAGGAACAAAGTATAAAACTCAGAATGTGGTTTCTTCAATTTCAATATGTCCTCTCCCACCTCCAGCCCCAAAATACAGCCTTGAGGCAGATGGCAGCCAAGAAAAGTAACTTCTCCAACTCTTCTAACTGTCAGGTTGTACTGAGGAGAGGGATCCAATTTCTTTAAGATAGATCCAAGTACAAACTTTGTACTATTGCTTTATACTATAAAGAAGATAAGAAACATTGAAAATGACCCAACTTCTCAATGCTTAAAAGTCAATACAATATGCACATAAAATATACAAACTTCTGTACATATTGGATGATATGTTAATTGTTTTCTATTTTAAAAAGCACCAATTCTATAAAATATATTATTATCCACATATTTCTATGTATTTTTTATAAAATCTCCTTCTGGCTTTTAAAAAAGAAGGTAATCATTTTGGCTTCTTGTTTATGAAATTCTTACCTGATGACATGATCTCTCCCAACATTACCTTGCAACGCTTACAAATTACTTTGGTATTTGCTTTTGGTTCCTGTAGAACAGAAAAATGTCATTTAAATGTCATTCAGCTTTCCTTAAAAGGAATATATAATTTTAACATAGTCCCCAGAGTATACATTGAACTTTACATTTTATTCTGCCCTCTACTAAATACTGGGAATGCATTTAGCTTGTGTGCATAATTCACATGCACAGAGATAATTTCCTTTTTCTGCCTTAAGATAGAATGCACACATTGGCTTATTCAAACCTAGCCACTTCTTGATAATCCAAATGTTGCCAATAATCTGAACAAGAAGCACTTTACATTTCTAAAAACTATTTCCAAATAGCCATAATTTGAAATGGGCAGATGGTGGGCAACAAAGGCAGAGAGAGTTAATGACTTGCCCCCACTCATGTGTATAGAATACAGAAGAATCAGAATTTGAACTCATATTGTTTTGACTCCTAATGAATGTAATTTATGTGTAAGTAACCTATAACTCATAGCCTCCCATAATTCAGAAGTTAAAATTATCTAACTTGTTCATACAATTCTATTTTTTTTCCATTTAAGATATGCACTATAACCAGAAGGATGAATAGTGTCATTGAGACAAATTCCTGGAGTATTCTTAGATTTCAAAACGTCTTAGACTTCAAAAATTCAAATTCATTATGTAGGATACATATTAATTAGCTTGCATTCACCAAATTTGTAAACAAAGAATGCTCCTTTTCAAATACATAGTAACAGCTCTGTTAAAGCCATACAACATCCCTCCCACCCAGATATACTGCAACATGGCACACATCTTGAAGAAATGGTCAAGAAAAAAGAACTCTGCAACTCTGGACATAAGGTCATCTCTTCTGGAAAACTGCAGAACAGTGTAGGGTGAAGTGAGAAGGGCAGTGACTCTCTGATATGGAATAATATATGTATTGATTAATGGAATAAGTTAGTGAATCAGTATAAATTTGAATACAAGTAATTTTCCTTGGTATAAATGAATATTTCCTGACAAGTTGCATAAGATGCACATTTAAATTTAGTTCCATAGACAAGCTGCTAGTAACTGAGAGAGCTTATGCTTGAATCCAGATAATAAAGCTTATGCTTTTAAGCACTATGCTCAGTGTTTTCCAAACTACAGGTCATATGTCATTAGTGGGAATCAATTCATGGAATTAATTCCATGGGTTATAGCTTGTCTTTAAAAATACTGAATAGAAAGTATGACTGCTTCAAACATCAGGTAGGTATTACTTCAAGAAATTTTTACTCACAGTGTGTTTATATAGTGTACACATGCATGTGTGTGTGTGTGTATGTGTGTGTGCATGAATGTATATATGATCAGACATTGATGTAAAAATATATCTCTTACTTTAGTTAAAAGCCAAATAGTCGAAAGCAATTGTACAACTTATACTGGGGTCCATATGTCTGACTCACTCTTTTACCCAGCCTCAAATCCATGTTATAGTGAAAATCCATAAATACCCCCCAACTCTTTTCCATACCAATTATTCCTGAGATGAATCCTTTCATATGCTGAAGAAATCTACAATAATACAAAAAAACATATCCTATTTTTCCCCGGTCTAGCCACAGGATTTGCACAGATTCTCCAGTCTTTCTCTAAAAGTCTCTGCTGAGGAAACAAGCAAATATGAACTCTTTAAATCAGCTCACACCTAGCTCAAACATTTATCAAGGTACACCAGGTGGGGCCGAGGGACAGTACCATCCCTAGCCAGGGCACTGATAACCTTGCATCCAGCACATTGCACATAGCAGAAGCAGAGTCTGGCCAAGATGAGTGATAGGATAGTGTCATTGAGACAAATTCTGTCCTGAGGAACAGACAGAAACAAAGGAAGGTACCAGTTTGCTCAGTTCCAGGAAGAGAGCCCTGATAGCCAGTATGCTCAATTGTAAAGGCAGACCTTCTGGTAGTTTCATGCTTTTTACAATAAGATCTATCTATACAAAGAGGTGCTGAAAATAATTTTTAAAGGATGTTATTTTGTACAAGTGGAATTTGACCATGTTCATTAAATCTTATCAAAAAAAAAAATAAGCGTTTTACTAAAACCTAATATCAGGTATTGGTACAGCAAAGTTTGTGAAGAAAGAATTTTTCTATTCAAAGCAGAAAACTGTCAGGTGCTTTATTATGCAGTTCATCTATAACTGTTTTCACATAATATTTCCCATTGTCTTTCAAGTAAGCAGGCAAAGTGTTTTATTCTTTGTGTGCTTGTTTTTAAAATAAGATTCTACCCTTATCAGACATGGGTGATCAGAATCTTAAAATCTGATCAACAACTAACTGGGTATGGTGTCGAATGCCTGAAATCCTTATAATCCCAGTGATTTGGAAGGCTGAAGCAGGACAATTGCAAGTCTGAGGCCAGCCTTCATAATTTAGCAAGATCCTATATCTCAAAATAAAATAAAAAGGGCTGGGGGTGTGGCTCAGTAGTAGAGAGCCTCTATGTTTAATATATAGTACCACACATAAGCAAAAAAAAAAAATCTGATCAATAACAAGCAAATTAGCTCAAACAACCAAATTAATGGATCTTCATTCAAATAAACCTATAGTAAAAGATGTTTTTGCAGAGAACAGGGTATTAGGGATTTAATTCAGGGGCACTTGACCACTGAGCCACATCTCCAGGCCTATTTTGTATTTAATTTAGAGACAAGGTCTCACTGAGCTGCTCAGCGCATTGGTGTTGCCAAGTATGGCTTTGAATTTGAGATCCTCCTGCCTCAGCCTCCCGAGCTGCTAGGATTATAGGCATATGCTACCATGCCCAGCATAAAAGATACTCTTAAGGCAATTAAGAAATTTTGTCAGGGCCTGATATTCTATCATTTATTAATATCAGGTGTGATAATGACAGTATGATTTATGAAAAAAATCTATATTTTTAGACATACATTCAGAAACAGGGATGAGACCACATAATACTGGAGTTTGCTTTAAAAACACTTTAGCAAAACAAAAAAAAACCCACTTTTTAAATAAAGACAATTGACATATTGAAGGTGATAATATTATTCTTTTTATCCTTGTGAATGTTTACAAACTTCACCAACATATTTTTCTAAGAAAACAAAAGATTCACTTATGAATTTAATAAAACAAATTACCAAAACCAATAAATTATTATTCAGTACCCCAAAAATGAATAAAAAGATAAAGTTGTTGGTTATACTTACAAGTAATAGTATAATCAAAGTTCAATGTTGCTTTTCTTTTTTTTTTATTAAACAGAATGAAGTTATAAGTCTAGCTATACTTTTATCTTTTCTTTTCTTTTTTTTTTTTTTTCTTGAGATGGCCTCTTACTATGTTGCCCAGTCTGGCCTTGAACTCTTGAACTCCTGGACTTAAGTGATCCTCTTGCTTCAGCCTCCCTTATGGCTGGGACTACAGATGTGAGTGAGCTACCATATACTGGCTATACTGGCTTATATTTTCAAAGTTTTAAATAATATGAATTTTATAAAAGGTGGAGATGCCATCTTTGTCCTCCTCTTCCAATAGACAAAACTGATAGTATGTTGGTACATGGGAAAAATAGTATAAGAGATGACAACCAAACTGCAGGAATAGGGGAATCTTCAGCAGAAATTGTTTGAAAATAAGAAGCACATCCTGCCACACCAGTGGAGGCACATATAAGATTCTGTAAACTCCAAGAGGGTGCTGAAGGAACAAAATAATGTTGGGCTCTTTGTGCTGTTTTTAAAATCAGATCTTTTAAATTAAGATTTTCTAGTATGTTAATTTTGTTTAAAGAGAATCTCTGCTTTGTAATGCATTTTTCTTGATCTACGCTTCAAGGAAATAATAAAGCAAGTTGAGTAATAAAACAGCCTAACAGTATGGGAACTCTACAGAGCAAACCTCAAAGAAAGACATTGTTTGGGAACTAATTAAATCAATATATCTGAGAGATGGCAGTGCTGCTCAGAGAGGTGGATTAGCCTCCTATCCTCGTTTTTATTTTCCTTTGTGTTGTTTCAATTTCTAAGGACCCTTGATATTGTCTCGCCAAAAAAAAAAAAAAAAAAAATGTTTCCCAAGAGATACCATTAGGATGCTGTATCACCATGTGACATTTCAAACCCCTGCTAGATGGCTAGACTGGGTGATATAAGAAATAGGTTTTCAATAGCACAGAGCAGCCTTGTTCCCAGAGGAGCCTTGAGATCACTGTTTAAGCAGTCTCTCTAAATTTATGTTACTATTTTGGTCACAGGCACACTCTTTCAACTGCTACAATATGCAATTAAAGAGAAACTTCCATCCAGACCAACTTGAAAACAATCTTGTCAACTGCAGCTTGTCATGATAGTAATTTCCCATACTGTCCTTGATAACAAAACCTGTAGTGTCTAAATATGAAGAATCTTCTTTCAATTTATAAGATAGCTGTTTACAATGAAGAGAAATACTTGTAAGTGGCATCACATAACTGACGAGAATGTAAATGTGAAGAACATATCTCAGCACAGAATAAAGAATATCTAAAAAGGGAAACATGCCTTCTCTTATTCAATCTTTCTCCACTCTTTTAACATTCACCCCTTCTAAATATTTTTAAGATGTAGAGTTTATTCATAAAAATGAAAAACATTTAAAATAAGTAAGTATATTTAGAGTAAAACATAAATTTAATAGAATCATCTTAAATGTAAGTATAACATTCATATTAGCTTCTTACCATTTATCTTTTAAAAATACAGAATGCTAAAGTGCTTCAATTTAAAGCAAACCATATTTACATAAAGAGATTTCTTTTTGTGGTGAGACATGAGGCATTTAATTACTTATAACTAACAACAACTTAATCTGGATATTTGACAAATTTCCTTCAAAATAGTTCTATAAACTAATTTATAATGTGAGAGTTGTTGTCTGAGTGTTATATGTTTCCTGTAGCAGGTCAGTTCTGATTACAAAAATTAAATGAGGCAGTGAAATTTAAAATACAATGTGTTTGTTCTTACTAGTAATCAGGTGTTGAAATGAAGATTCTCTACCAATAATTTTCTTTACTTTTTAATCATATCTGTATTGACTGGCTATTGCGGAATGATTCCTCACAAGGGCCAAGTCAATGCTACTGATTTTCTTTTAAAATAAAGTAAACCACTCATTTTCTGCAATGAGAGGAAACTGTCTTCTTCCTAATGCAAATTATTTAGCAAGGGCCATTCTGACGTCATGCTGTTAAGCACCAACTTAACTACTACAGCATAAGCCTGATTTCCATTCCCCAGCTCTTTCATTTTCCTCTTTCCTTGATGGAATCTGCTTTTATAACATCAGCAGAAGTCTAGACTATGGGCAGACTCAGTAAAATCCCTGAATCTAATTGTATAGTACATATCCTGGTATACTTCTAATTTAAATCAGACTATTGAGATTAAAATGCACATAGATTATGAAATGTTATCCAAAACAAGAAAATAAGGCATTTGGTTTATAAAATGGTAATATTCCTAAATCTGCGTGAAGAAGCTCTCTTCTCCAGCTCCTCCAGCCCATGTGTGTGCTTTTGCATAAGACTCTTCTTAAATCAATAGAGCAGAGCTAGAGGACAGAAGCAGATGAAAATAATAGATTTGAGCCTTTAGAACGGTTTCTTTAACACGCTTTGAATTAAGAGAAGATTGGGGAAATGGGTATCTAAGCAAATCTCTAAGTTAGCATGACTGTGAAAAGATATTTTACCAATTTAAAATGATTACAGAAAAAAGCACATCTCAACTAGGAATGGTTCAGGTCTTACCTGCCACAAATCATTTCTTATATTCACCAAGAAGAAAGAGTCTCCAATAAAACAGTCATTCTCTCTTGGATGAAGTGGCTTATTAGCAAAGGGGTCAGGATGACAACACCACTCTCCAACGAGAGCTCCCCAGTTCTCACTCGGCAGTGGGAGAATCCTGAGAAGCTTCCTGGTGGAAAGAGGGAAAACAATTTTTCACAGCACAAAATGGAACTAACATTTTCTTAATTAAATCAGCATGAAAGATGAAAGAAACTCATTAGCCACATGCTTGCAATGTCAATTTCCCCCCAATTATAAAAGTAATATATACTCACTCTAGGATGATTTTGAAAATGCAAAGAGGTATAAAGAAAACAAAATTCATCCTTTTCTCACTACCCAAAGATAAGTACCTACTTTTTAACATGATGTGTATTTCTTTACCACCCTTTCAAGAGATACATTTGTGTATATATATATATATATATATATATATATATATATACACACACACACACATGTTGTCTGGGATCAGAGAATACATACAAACTGTATCTTGCTTTTGTTTTATTTAGTTATACTGTGATTCATAATGATTATAATATTCTATTCTATAGGTTTGTCAAAACTTTATAGATCATTCCCTTGCTGTTGGATATGCAAGATTTGAGTTCTTTATTATCAATAACCCTGTGATGAATACTCTTGTTAGAAAATTTATGTACATGTCTGATTATTCCTTGGGGATAAAAAATCTTATCAGTGGAAGACTACAAGCACAAATGATATGCGTATTTTTAAACCTAATACCCATTTGTTGACTTCCTTTTCAGAAAGTTTGTACCAATTTATAATCCTTTCACCTACCCTCTTCTTATTTGAATCATTTCTTTTCTGTCTTTGCACAAGTAAAAATATTTTCAATACTGCTTTATTGACAACTCTTAAATTACTGGTGAGACTGAACTAGTTTTTATATTGACTGGCCACAGTGTTTCTCCTGTGAATTGCAATCAGAGTACTTTCCAATTGAAGCAATAGTATGTTCTTATTGATTTTTAAAATATATTCTACTATTTTATTATCCCTTTGTCTATCATTTGTTAGAAATATCTTTTCAGTATTACTGTCTTTTAATTTGGTTTTTATGTCTTAAGTTTTAAATCACCTTTCTTCTGTGATTTCTTCTATTACTCTAATAAACTTTCTTCTGAAATAATTTTAGATTAATAAAAAAAATTACAAAGATGGTACAGATACTTCCCATATATACTGTACCTGTCTTTCTCTAATGTCAATATTTTATATAACCATGATAGATATGTCAGAATTACAGGCTTTAATCTGGATTACACCAGTTTTTCCACCTAATCTGTGACAGTTTCTCAATCTTTATTTTTCAAGATCTTGATATATTTCAGTAGTACTTGTCAGGTATTCTATAAAATATCTTTCCATGTGAATTTGCTTGATCTTGTCTTATGATTACAGTGGAATTATAGGTTTGTAGAAAGAATTCCACAAAGGTGAGGTATCCTTCTCATTATATTATATCATAGGGTATATTATATCAACATGACTTTCATTGATGATATTAATCTTAATCATCTGGTTCAAGGGTTATCTGCAGTTTCTTCCCCTAGTAAAACATTAGTAAATTAATGTATATTTAGAAGTTTCAAGTTAAAATATTTGAGCTGTGATTGTGTATTTGCAATTTAAATTAAATTTATATATATGTGTATATATATATATATGTATATATATATATTTTTTTTTAATAATTCCCTTATGTTAACCTTCTCTTTTGTCTCCCAATCAACTGTAAGTATCACAAAAGGGCAATTCAGCTTAAAAGAGGGAAGACATTTCACTTATAATTTTAGAGGACAGAGGCAAAAACAAGAAAGGCTGATTTTAGTTTAAAGTAAGGAAGAACTTTCCCTTTCAAATTAGGATATGCTGTACCATTGGCATCCTTCAAGCTGCTGGGCATATGGAGGATATTGAGAAGTGATTCTTTCAACATGCATTTCCTTGAGTCTACTGTGAATCAGTCATTCAAATACATACAGCCCTTTTTCTTAAAGTACTCACATTCCAATAGGAAATATAGACCTATAAGCAAATAACAAAGCCACATGCAAAATGTGCTTATAACAGAGTAATGGGACTCCAAACTCTTGGGGGTGGGGAGGGGTTGTATAGATTACTTTGAAAATTTGATGAAAGCATTAGCCCCTTTCCTCAAACATACATTTTCACATGTACATATAACCCGCATTTGATGTAGAGCATTCAGGATACCCAAAACCAATCCTTGAATTCAGGGCAATTTGCACAAAGTGCTAGGAAAGTAGACTTATATGAGCTTTAGAAAAGAAATAACATCTGAGCTGGACTTTAAAGGATATATAGAAGTTCTACAGACAGTGGAAGAAATATACAGCATCATGGAAGAAAAGATAATGAAGGCAGACACTGCATCTTTTTACATTACCACTATATTCTTACCGCCCAAAACATTTCCTTAAATATTTGTTGATGGAATGAACTAGCATATTTTGATAATTATAATGTGTGAGACCTCTGGCTGGGTCTACTGCATACTGGGATGAAAGGGTTAACAAACTCTTCCCTTTGCTGCTTGAGAATCTGATCTTTGGTTTAACCACCTAGTTCTGTTACCCTGGAAACCAGGTAAGATCCTAGGCATCAAATATATTGCTAGGCAACACAGCTTACAGTAAAAATGATCCTTGATTGGTAAATTGCATCTGGACTGGTAAGAATTTGTGAAAGTGCTATGAAGATCTAATAAGAACGCCATGCTTTGAGCTTCCCTGAATGCATTCTCTTGTGGAACCCTAGAAACTAGCCAAAGAGTTCTTATAACAGACTTTGTCTGCCAGGGCAGCAACTGCACTTGCCTGATGTGATCATGTGATTTGTACCTAAAACTGTGTCTTGTAGGCAGGCAAGAGTCCTCAGATTCTTGTATGTGAGCTGTCACTTGTATGAACTGCTGTATGGCCCTTGCTGAGAAGTTTTCTTGATACTGCCCTGTTGGCAAACTGGGAAAAAAATGTGTCCTGTGGTAGTTTTGTTAGTCTGAATGTTTACACACAGCACTGTACATTTAATGCTCACGATTTTGTGACAGAAGAATTACCATTCCCTTACAGGGAATAACAGTGAGGCTCAGATTGTTACATAATCTTCACAAGTTCACAGAATCAGCGGTGATGACTGATGCCAGGATCTTAACCCAGGTCTTCCTGGCTCCAAAATTAAACTTTTTCCCTTAGAATATATTCCCTCTGCTAGCAATGCAGAATAGCAATAGAGGAAACTGGGGAGGTGGGATGGTGGTGGACTATTTGAGGAGCCATATACCATGCCAATGGGTAGAACTCCGTATTATAGACACATGGGAAGCAGTATAGTATTTTGGGAAGGGAAGTGACAGGTCAGAGTGTGATTTTTGCTAAGAAGCAAGAAGGCAAATAACTTTCCTGTTAAGAGTAAAGGCTTGAATAGGATCCTGGATCTTCTCCATCATTAAAACTCTCTGGGGCTGGGGCTAGGGCTTAGTGATAGAGTGCTCACTTTGCAACTGTGAGGCCCTGGGTTTAATACTCAGCACCACATAAAAATAAATTAATTAAAGGTATTGTGTCCAACTACAACTAAAATAATAATAATAATAATGAAAACCTCTCTGTCTCCTGACATTCTTCTTGTAGGGCCAATAAACAGACCTTCAAAAATTCCATATGTGATCAAAGAAATGAAAATGCTTTTATATATATAAAAAAAGAAAATGCTTTTATAGAGATTTGGGAGACTCAATTCACATTAACAGAAAGTATGGGATTTCAAACTTAATTTAACCCCATATCACACTGAATAAAAGTCATAATGCTTCCTTTAACCATCTACATAAGACATTGGGAGCAAGAAAGTGCCTAATTTCCAAGTCATTGCAATGATAAAAGAATCTTTATAACAGAAAGAAATTTTTCTGATGTTTTGAAAAAAAACATAAAACTTTAAAGAACAAAAGGTGTATTTTAATCACAACTCTACTGAAAGTATATCTATCCAAAACCCTGAAAAATGTACTTTGATATGATCTACTTCCCGAGAGAACCTTCAAAATAAAATAGATACCATTTTTTTTTCAAGGTAGTTTAGGTAAAAAAAAAAAACATCTGCAGCTAAGAAAAAAGTGAAATGATTTCTTAATTTTTTTCTGAGCTTAAGAGCTTATGATGAACAACATATGTTCATAATAAAATAAAATTTGCTAGTTATTTTAATGCATCGTTGGCATAACCTTTTAGAAAATAACTTATGCAATTTTAATAAATTCTACTAATTAATGATGTTTTACTTGATACTTAAGCATATATATATATGTGTGTATATACACACATATATATATGTATATATATATATGTATACATAAAATCAGTCATTAGTTAGTGATCATAACAATAGTAGTAACAGGGCTTTTATAGATGGATTAAAACAAAGTGAATATTAAGAGTCTTAAGAATAACATCAAGACTGGTTTGTGGCTCATTGGTAGAGTGCTTGTCTAGCACCTGGGTTCAATTCTCAGCACCACATACAAATAAGTGAATAAAATAAAGGTCCATCAACAACTAAAAATATATATAAAATTTTAAAAAATAACATTAAACATCTAAACATCTAAAACTCAAAATATGACTATTGGAATTTATACAAATTCAGGTGACATTCTCCAACTAGTAGGCCATGAATCCTCTAAAACTAGCTTTACATTTTAACACTATTATTATATAGTATGATTAGATTTTAAAAGTATAGTAATTTTATTCCAAAAGTTTATACAATGTTGCCAAAATCCAGTTTGGCCTCTGCCTTTTTTTTTTTTTTTTTTTTTTTTTTTAGTGCAGGAGATTGAACCCAGGGGCTTCTGTGCTAAGCATATGCTTTGTCACTAAGCTACACCCCCAGTTCTGCACTTTTTAATTGCTTTGTTTTCATTCACTAAAAAAGTAACTTCACTCACAGAAGTAGTTATTTTCAGGCTACAATTATAGTTGGTGTGCCAAGAGGACCAACCAAGCAGTTTGAAAATCAATCATCTCCTGCTTCCATAAAGCTCATTCTGCTGGTCTCCCAAAGTTTCAATGCCCTCGTGAATGTTGGACTGAAACCCAGTGTGCAGGTACAGGTGGAAAGGTTGTACTATTCCAGAGACCTCAGGAGAATACTCCTTTCAAAATAGTCTGACAATCAAAAGGGCTGGGTCTGAAAATCTGTTGTGTTAACTAATGTCATTCAAGTCTGACATGAATTTATTTCTAAAAACCATAACAATTCAAACACAATGACCACTTCATTGTTTCTTAGACTATTCACAAAGTAATTTTATTATTATTGATTGATATTGTGAACTGTTTAGTTTTAACAAGAGAAAAATAAAAATTTTTCTATAAAATTTGTCTAATTGTATAATTCTATACAATTAGACAAATTTTATAGAAAAACTTGGCTTATTTATAAATTAGAGAACTGTATTTTTTTAAAAAAAGGCATTAGTTTTAAATAACTAAAATAAATTAACTCAGAGCTTATGACCCTAAATAAAGAAAAAAATTGTCATTCACTAGCAGATTTCATGTGCTCATGCATTAAATGTTAAAAGCCATTAATGAATCTTATTTGGTTAAATTGTCCCTATATCTTATTTCCATAATTTGCTTGATATCAAGTTAAAAAAAAAAAAAAGGAACCAATTTTAGCCTTGTACTATCTAAATAATCATGATTCACAGGAAACCAAAGTACAACTTTATGGGGTTCATCAATGAGAAAATGTCATGCCAATAGGACTCTGTCAAGTTTATCTAATCCAACTTCTTCATTTTACAAAGAGACTGCCCAGAAAATTAAAGTGCCTTAATTCTAAGATAAGAAAGCTTGGTACATGCTTTGTTGTATATTGCTTAAGAACCCACTGAAAGATGTCTCTGTATTTCTGTATTCAATATACAATCTTTGAATTAAAAGTTACCAATGTTTGCAAAAAAAAAAAAAAAGACTTGGTGGCAGATGAGCACCCACTACAAGTCAGTCAGCATAGTCCATAGTACCTTCCTGGGAAAGATATTTACAATAATATGATTTTGATTATAGCACATACAGACTCTTTTGGAGAAACTTTGGCCTTGTTTTTTATTTAAGGACTACAAGAATTGTCCTTATCACTCACATAAAACAAGTAACCAAACCAAAGTGAGAAGACCACCCTGATTGATACCAATGGTCAGCACAAGATCTCTATGCAGAGGTTGGAAGAAGCCTAGCCTTTCGTTGTACAGAGTCACAGGGCATGCTGCCCAAGAGTGAGATGTAAGAAAAGACTTAAGTCACTTACTAAAGATTTCTCTGTGCAGCTCAAGAGGCATATGCAGGCCAGGCTCACAGATGTGGTATGAAAAGGCTTTCAGGTAAGACTTGTTTAAATGAAGTGAGAGTGAAGTCTACTGTTTATCTTCTCAGAGAGAGAAAATCAAAAAGGTGATTCATTTCTCTGATGCATATGGACTATATGAATGAGAGTCCTGAAATAAAACTGTTTGAAACACTGAACTAGAAAATTTGCTAGTGTGCTAATAAGCACAAGTCAGAAAAGAGACTAGAAGGAGTCTCTAAAACCAATTGAAAAAAACTTGCCATATATCTATTACAGTGTATGTTATACTCCCTAACTCTCCTGACAAGTTTGGGAAGTGGGTTTTAGCAGGTGCTGAGGTGATACAAACAAGGCCCCCCAGCTCCTAAATAGTAAGGTTGGAGTTCAAACCCAAGTTCTATTCTCCTGCTCCCCCTCTACCCTCACAGCTTCCCAGCAGACAGGGATAGGGAAAATGTGTGCATCCTTCATTGTTAGCCTCCATGTCCTTCTAGTTCTCAACTCCATGATTATAGACAGGATTGAACAAAACAGAAAATACAGTTCCTGATAGGAAAAGCAGGCACTGTAGGTGAGAATCTTCAAAATCCTCCTCCTTTTCCAATAAAGCACAAATATTAGCCAATAATGAACAAACCATAGCCCCTAAGTGGCACCAGGAAACATTGCTATGCTGAATTTAACTTATTCATTAAAGTTAACTGTAACTTCCAGGTTAACTCCTGATATAGAAGTCAGTGTTTCAGAAATTTCATCTGAGAATTAAGTCAGATTCTGAAATGGACTGAGAGGAGGGCAACATTTGTGGCTGAACAACAGTGTAAACTGGGATCTCTTGGACTTTCAGGATAAAGTGGGCCTGTCACCAAGCAAGCACTCTGTGGCAACTTCAACCCTTAGGTAATCTGAGCAAATTTGTTCCTCTCTCCTCAGTAGATATGAAGCCATCTCATTTCTCACTCAAGATAATCATTCTGGGGATAGTCCATTTATAACCTCTCCTACAGGAGTAACTTTGTGCCTTCTCATCTACCTGGGATGCTGCCAGGAATCAGGAAACAAGCAAGAAAGGCTAGTAGAAGACCAAAATAAACACACCGAGGTTTATTCAATTCAACCTAGCAAAACTATATTAAGAGCACACTATTCACCAGGCACCGTGCCTGATTCCAGGAATGATGATGATGATAAGAATAATTATCACAGTAGCTAACATAATAAATGCTAACAATGTGCCAAACATTGCTATAAACATGATCATTTGATCCTCTCAACAACCCTATGAGGTAAGGCCTATTGTTATCTATATTTTCTCAAAAAGAAATTTAAGGCATGGAGTGTTTAAATAACTTGTCCAAGGTCACACAGCTAATAAATGTCAGATACAACTCATTCTAACTTCTCAGTCTATACTGCTAGCCATTAGCCTACACTGTACTCTCAACAGTGGCATAAAGGATACAAAAATCAAAAAGACTCTCCCTGCCTGCCCCCAGAGCCTAGAGTTTAACTGTAAAAATGGGCAAATAAACCTTTAATGAACATCTAAAGCAAACCAGGGTTCAGGAAGACTCCCCGTAGTACAGGCCCTGCCAGTTGAATTCTGAAGTACAGGCAGGGGCTAAACAGGGAGTGACAGGGTATGGGTACATTCAGAAGAAGGAGTAGCTTCCATAAGGCCCAGGGTGAAGAAAAGCATAAAGAAACTATGGGATGGCATGCTGATCTCCCGAACTGTGCACAGAATTTGAGCAAAACACAATGGTGTGTTTTGGGAAGGAGGGTGAAAGAGGGCTGAAGTGAGGTCGAGAGGTAAACACAGGTGAACTCATAAAGGAACTAATGTGGCATGCTGGAGATTTAAGGAATTTATCCTGGAAAAAAATAGAGGACCATGGTAGGGTCTGAACAGGGAAGACAGTTGCATTTTAGAATAATCACTCAAGAGTGCAGAAATGGGTCAGAGGAGGGCAAAAGCAGAGGAAGAGTTAGCAGACAAGAAGCTAGCAACAGGTGTCACTAGGTGAGGAGACAGTGGCCCTGACTAAGGCAGAGGGGTGGAGGAAAGTGGACTGAGGTTCCCAAGGAAGTAGCCTCTGTAGCTGATGACTACACTGGAAGAAGGAAGACCCCAATGCAATGCCACAGGATTCCTACCTTGAGGACACAGGTAGAGGCTGACATGACTGAGACCAGAGCACTGGAAGAGGAGCAGGTTTCAGATATGAAGGATCCATTCACTCATAAGTCTCAAGACACTTGACTCAGGAAACCCATCAAAGAATTCCAAGGTACTTCTTTAAGTATTTTTAAACAGTAAATAGGTTTTCCTCTGTCTTTCCAGATCATAAATGATGAGAAGTCGAAAGCTCAGGGGGAAGGATTTGTGCACAGGAAAAAACAAGGCTGATGGGAGGACCTCAGAAGACAAAAATAACAGTAATAATTTTAAAAGTCGACCTGGGAATGCAAAGGAAAAAGCAAAAGAGCCCTTCCCATCTCAGTAGGGTAATCGCAGCACATTACAAGGAGAATGGGTTACAAGATTAACCTAATCACTGAGAAAAGGTTAATTTGTGCTCTGTATGCTCTGTTTTAATAAGCAGGGGAAATAGGAAATGGATTTTTAGAAAGGCACAGAAAGAAATCATTGCTCAGATCAAAAGTCCTACTTCACAAGCTTTGCGAGGTAGAAAACTTCACATCGAAACCCTAACTCATCACTGTGAGGGACTAAACAGATGAGATAGATCCCACATCTCTTCAGAAGAGAGGTGCTTCAGGAACCTGTCGCGGCTCCTCTACCAAGACCAATCATCCTGCCTCAGCCAGCATCCTGTGGTTCCCCTTTATCTCCATGAGAAGAGCCTGCTATTCTGTGATTGCTGGCAAGGTCTGTGGTTGATTTTATTCAAAGTGACATTACATTGGCTCTCATTTTAAGAGCATACACTGCTCCCTCGGTAATTAACTTAAAAAATTATAATAGCGAAAGGAAAAAAGAAAAAAAATATTCCCAGGCACAGAATTAATCAGTATTAATTGCATTCCTTACCTGTCCCTTATTATGACTTCACCACAGGACTGGCAATAAAATGTGCAACATTCTTGGGCTTGTAAGCTTTGATTAAATATTGAAATCAGTTCTAAAGAAAATCAATGAAATAGTGAGTCTTAGAGATTTGGAACAAATATATTAGCATACTTAAAGGGCTTACTAGTCACAATAAATTACCATCAATACACACTGTTTATGATCTATGCAGACATACACATTTAATTAGTATTACCAGATGACTCAACCAGAAGCAAACACTGCGAAGTGTTTTCAAAAACAACAGATTTGCCAAGAGTTTCAGAGTTAGGCATTGCCCTAGATTACCCATATAACACACGGATGAGTTACTGCTCTCATTCTATGAATACCTGCACCAGGGGTGAGTAAAGATGGCCTGCTTCCTTCACCTCTAGCCAACTACCAGATCTTCCCTATGCTCAGTTTTCCTCTGCTGTCCTTTGGTAGTTTGTCATCAGTGTGACTGCCCGCACACAGAGCTCCTAAAATGTATGTTTAATCTGGTTTTAACAAGGTTTATTTCCATGCTGGCACATTACCAGGATATACAAACAAAATGAGTCTTGAAACTGGCCTTTCTGGGGCAGGCCCTGGAAACATTATAGTTTCAAAGAAGAGTCCAATCTTCCAAGACCAAAATTCAATTTCTGATGAAAGCTGTGAGAAAATGTTGAAAGTAATGGGGAAAATGTGTATTTTTCACAATATGAGAAATAGCAGCACAAGGCAGCAGGCTCCCTTAGTTTCTGTTATTCCATTTGTAGAAAATAAAATTTTTTTCATTAAAAAAACGAAAATATTTGCCTATAAAAACATAATTGAAGAAATGAGATCATAGCCATTAGAAGCAAGAAAGTTGAATTTGGTTTGGGTTACTTTGTATATATTTTAAAGACAAAAGAAAAACTGATGCTAGAAAATTTAAACCTTGGCAATTAAGAACTCTAGTTTAATTTATAAGGGTACACAAATTCCTATAGCACCAAGGTGAGAAAAAGGAGACCTAGGTAAGACATACAAAATGTTCTTTCTAGACCAATAAACAAATTTTCAAGGAAACACTACCCTCTGCTGGCCACTGGGTCAGGTTTAAAAGACAGAACTTTCAAATACAGAGGGATCCTGGGAGAGCAATGCTTCTGGGGTTGAATCCAACACCAGTGGTGTCAAAGATTCCAGGTAGACAGTTCCATTGCTGGGTCACAAATCTACCTATATTATGCTCACAATAGTGTATCAGCATGATGTCTGTTGTGGTTGTCCTGAATAGGGTGTTCTTATGAAAAGCACATTTTTAACAATCCCTGAAACAACCAAATGCTAAAAATTTGAAGTCACTTCCTACAGTACAATCTGATTCAAGTTCATATCATCAAGTGTATACCTGATATTTATTTATTCATTCATCAAATATTTATTTCCTACCTATGATCTGGAAAGCACTAAAGCAATTAAGTGCCCAGGAATCTACTTTACCCTTTCATGCACCATGTAACAGGTCTTTGAAACTTTTTCTTTTCAGATACCTGAGTAAAATGTTCTATAAGTGTAAAGAAATAGGAAACCAATGTACACAAACAATATGCAAACCAACATATGGCAGTCAATTTATTTCATCCTATAATTAATTTAAGTTTTGCTATTTGTATGTTCACAGTTATAGAATATGGGTAGGCAACAACTCAATTCTATTTCCCTGCAGATCTCTATTCCTCCATCCCTCAAACCACAATCCTAGACAACACTGAGGCTTTCTTGCCTGTCTTTCCCCAGCTCACAGACTCCACACAAAATTTCTGCTATGGTTATTGTTGCTAATGGAGAAGGTGATGACATCAAAGATATAAACTCCCACATATTCTTCCTGGAAACCAGTACTACCTTGACCCGGTGTTAAGTACACTCAGGGTGTCTGTTAGTCTAGTTTTCCACCTCATTTGCCTTTCCATGATTATTTCAACTGTCATTCTCAGTGTTTATCCTAAGCCACTTCAGCTCCATGACATCTTTCTTCACTGCCCCTTGTTCTTAAAACCAACTCTTACCATCAAATTTATTATTTGCTAAGCCAGAACTTTAGCAAAAGTTACTCTTAGGCAAAAAAGGAGTGAAACTTACTCTTTTGTTTCCCCTTTTCACATCATTTTAATCCTCCAAAGCATACTACTTAGACTTTAAGAAATGTAATAAACCAATTATTTTTTCAATAAACAATGAAAACTTACAAAAAGAAAACTTTTCTACGTCCTTACTGAATCAAAATGTAATTTGAATTTTGTATATAGTTACAAAATACTGTGTTTGTAACAGTCACAGTGACAATCAAAATCAAATTATGCATCACATTCAACTTTAGGAACTTTTCACGTGCTGCTCAATTTGGAACAGTCTCTATATGGATGGGATAATTTTCATCATTCAGTTCTCTGGTCAAACATCACCTACTCAAAGTAGCCTTCCTTGACTTCCTACCCTCTGCTAACCCTAAGTCATCCCCCATCCCATTATTTGCTTTACTTTACCTATAATGTTTTTCTCACTATGCAATAAATTATTTGTTCAGTATCTATTCTCTCCCATTAGCATTTAAATTCCATGAGAGTAGAGACCTTCTCTAGCTTGTTCATTACCATGTCTTCAGCACTTAGAGCAACCCATTGCACAGAGTATGAGGTAAGCTGTATATTGAATGAATTTCCATACAATGCTTTAAGATTAACCAGGTCTTGTACAATTACCATCTGATTTTATTTTCACATTTTCATATCCCACTGTGAGCCAAGAAATTTTAGTTAAAGGAGAAAAAAAAAAAAAAAAAAACAAGGATTCTAGGGGAAAACTCCGTACCTTCCATTTGATTTTGCTGTGAACCTAACAGTGCTCTAAAAAACAAAGTCTACTTTTATAAAGCAAAACACTAAAAAGAAATAAATAAAGCCCAGAAAGTTTAAGTGACTGTTCAACTGCACATAGCTAGTAAATAGCAGTGTTATTTACACCCCAGATCTTCTCTCTCCTAGCCCTTCCAGGCACTGATAAGGAGTCTTCACCTGGGAAAAGTTCAACTTAAATAATAAATATCTTTGTTTACTAGCAAAAATGTAAATGAAGAACGGAAGTGGTAACCGACTCACTTGTGCTGAATTCTGTATGTGCCTGCAGCCGAAGGTGCAGTCCATCTCCAGCGACATACTGCAGTCCACGGCAAGAAGAAGGTACAAGCCTGACCTCTGCTGGGAGCCGAACCTCTGTGCAGCCTGTGGGGGTTTTCATCTGGAGCAAGGATGGCATTATGGAAACATCCATGGGCATACCTCCTTCTTTTGGCTCCCTGATAATTAAAAATAAAACTCAAACAAATTATTTCCCTTTGATGAAAACCATACAATAAAAGAAACAAAAATGGCTAAACATCTCTCTATTCTTTTTCACTAGAGACCCTAAAACCATTGCCTCAGAAAAAAAGCAGCAAACAGATCCTAAAGGAAACCAAGCTACACTAGAGTCTGATCAAGTCAGAGAGTACCCTTCACTGTCACAGCAAGGTCAAAGTCTCCAAACACATTTCTTATCCTTATGAAGACCAGCCTTAAAATCACCTTGTACCGTAACTGATATTACAGAATTTTGATAAGGAGAACAGGATTAAGTGAAACAATAGATACAAAACAAAAACTTTCTGTCCAATTTTAAGAATACTAAGAATGAATGGGAAAAAAAAAGTGACACATGATTCCCAGGTTTGAGAGGACTAATTTAATTTACGATAAAGACTAATTACTATACTCAGTATCGGCAACAAAAATAAAATGCAGTCCCTGTCCAACAGGAATGAAAAACATAGAAGAGGAGAGGACATACACAGAAGTAATTGCAATAACGAAGAAAGTAATAATGAAGTAATAACGAAGAAAGCGATGATGGCATATATGGAAATGACCTCCTCCCATAAAGCTGAACTGTGCTCTGCATTGTAACAGAGGTGCAGAGAACCATGGTTACTTTTAAATTTATTTATTTTTTGGTCCTGGGGATTGAACACAGAGCCTGGCTCATGCTAAGCACCTCCTCTGCCACTGAGCTACATCCTCAACCTCCCATGGCTTCTTCTTAAATGCAGAAGGCAAGCTATCCACCTAATGTCTCATTCCATCTGTTTGAGAGTTACCTAAGAACAGAGGGCAGACCATGTGTTCAGGGGTGAATCTTGGTTAGGCTTCTTCATTTGTCTTACAAAGTCTTAAGGTTACTTAATGGCTAGTACCTTTTCAATGTATATGGATCTTGCACTTCATTGGGAAAACAGAACATCAAGAATCTGAGGTTTGTTTTGTTTTGTTTACAAGTAAGACAGTCTCAAACTCTTGAGTTAAAAGTTTAATTTAAAAAAAATTATACTTAAGAAATAATGATTCTCAGAGGCAGGGATCAGAAAACTGTCTATAAACAGTCAAACAGTAACTATCTTAGGCTTTGTAGGTCATATATGGTCTCTGTTACATATTCTGTATATATTTTTTTAAACAATCCTTAAAACAATCCAAAGCCTATTCTTAGCTCACAGCTTTTACCTAATCAGGATATAGGTTAGATATAACCCAAAGGCCACAGTTGCTAGCCACTACTCTAAAGATACACTGTGTCATTTTTGCTACCTCAGTGATTTCCAAACTGGATGAAGTTGTTGGCATTTACAGGTGCCTCCAGGGAGACCACTGGGTGCATAAGTTCGCTAATCACCACTCCATCTCTGGCTTGCCACTTTTCTTCCCCTTTCTGAAAATTCAATTACATGAAACTGAGCAAGGTAGGTATCAATGCAAGGATAAGGGAAGCACAGTAGTCTGGCATGGATGTGAGAAGCCAAGCATGGTGAGAAGAGAATACACTAGGAGAAACATTAGGTGTGGAAGTTAAACCCTAAGACAGATAAGGAAGATATCTAGGCTGGAGATGGAAGGGGAGCACAGCATGGGGTTTCAGAGCCTGCTTGGCTCAGGCTGTTATACAGTCCTGCCTCACTGTCCATGGGGATTGATTCCAGAACCACCAACAAATACAAAAATCCTCTGATGCTTAATTCCCTTATATAAAATGATGTAGTATATGTATATGACCTGCACATATCCTCCCATATATTTTAAATCATCTCTAGAATAAAGTATCCAATACAGGGCTGGGGATGTGGCTCAAGCGGTAGCGCGTTTGCCTGGCATGCATGCGACCCGGGTTCGATCCTCAGCACCACATACCAACAAAGATGTTGTGTCCGTGGAGAACTTAAATAAATATTTTTAAAAAAAAGAAAAAAAAAAGTATCCAATACAAAGCAAATGTTATGTAAATAGTTGTTTTACTGTATTGCAGAGGTAACAATGATGAAAAAAAGTCTTTATATGTCAGTACAGTTGCAATTGTTTTATGAATTATTTTTGATCTGAGTGTGCTGAACTCAGATCTGGAGGGCTGACTGTACCACAGACTGAGAGAGCTAGATAAGATAACTCTGGTGTCTCTTCCTCTTCTTATAAGGACATTAATCTTATCACAGAGCTCCACCCTCATGACCTCATTGGAAACCTAATTACTTCACAAACCCCACCCCCAACACCATCACTTTGAATAATTAGTGCTTTAACATATGAATTTTGTGATTTTGAGAGGACACAGCATTCAGTCTAAAAGAGGGCCCAAGAGGTATTTACAATGAATAGGGAAAGGGAAAGCAGCAAAGAATGCCAGGAGAAGACTAGTTACACAGGGGGACCCGCCAGGGAAATAAAGACCATGAGATAATAAGGGCAAGTATTCTTAATGTGGGAAATTAGAGATACAAAGAGAAAAAGAAATAAAACTAGAAAGGATTCTATAGTTGTGGAATAGAGTTGGAAATATCTGTGTGAAGCCATGTTTTTTGATGTATGCAGAATAATATAAACATAAATTTATGTATTTATATCCATACATAAACATTACATATAAATCACACGCACACACGTACACACACACACACACACACACACACACTGGGGGAAATGACACCCCAATAGTAATGAGCATACTTAGAACTCAGATTTTGGTCTGTAAAGGTTAAGTTTCCACTTTAAAAAGAAAGAGCATTTCTTTGAAAAATGACTACAGTCCTGGAGGAGGAAAAGAATGAGATGAGGCTAAAACTATTCGAAGTACAACAAAGTAAGAAAGAAATCAAAGAATGATAGGGAGGGACATGTCAAAAAGACATAGAAACCATCCTGAAGGGACTCCCTTATAGTCACATCTGCTGTAATTTAAGCAAAGAAGCAACCCACTGAAGAAAACAGGTATATGTATTCTTATTGATGTAAATAAATGAGTAAAATTAAAATCTGATGAGGAACAGAGTATTAACATAGTCTTGTATCTATCCAATTAATACTTTCTGATTACAAAAGGAAAAAAGTAACCTTAGAGGGAGACACCTGGCACACACCGCCTTGCATAGGTGCTCCAAGTTGGCATAACCAATAATAGAACAAATCAGAATCATGCGCCATCTGATTTTGATGATAAGAACACAGAAATCACTCTGGAATACACCTGCCAAAGATGCATAACCAGAATCTAACCTTGAGAAAATAGACAAACTCAAATGGAGGGATATTCTATAAAACAAGTGTGCTATAATTATCAAAAGTGTCAAGATATGAAAGTCAAGGATAATGAGTAACTCTCTGAAACAGACTGAATCATGCCAAGAAAATGCAATACATCATTCTGACCTGGATTCCTTTGCTATTAGATATATTTCATGGAAAATTGGCAAAACATAAATGGGGACCTGAGTATAAAATGGTAGTAACATACTTCCCAGCTGAGCATAGGGGCACATCTAATCCTTGACCCAGGCTAAGGCAGGAGGATTCAAGTTCATGATCGGTCTCAGCAACTTAGCAAGACCTGTCTCAATTTAAAAAAAGAAAAAAAAGGACTGGGGATGTAGTTCAGGTTTAAAATGTCCCTGGGTTCAATCCCCAATGCCAATATATAAATAAAACCATATTTCCCAATTTTGCAGGTTGCAGAGTGTTTCTTTAAGAAAATACTGTAATCAGAGACTCTAATTTTGTGACATTGACCACACAATTCCTTTATATTTGAGGCATTATTATTGTTCTCTTAGATACTTTCAGTTGTCACACCTTGTTTAAAATGATCAAATAACTTCACTAAGAGTACAAGTCCTTTCTGTGTTCTGTAAGACACAGTGATAAGATAGACTCAGCTCCTACAAGCCCTGGAGTCCACGTAGTTAGAATTCCTGGAATTCTGCAAATCAGATGACCTTACTTTGGTAGGCTGAAGGTCAATCCTGGTGAAAGCATTTACACCACAGGAATCAACAAATGCTGCAAATCAAGATCTTTGTTTACTTTCTTGTTTTGTTTTCCTAGGTTGTTAAACATTTGCCTGCTCATTAAAATAAGACCCTTCTTTAGATGCCTTCCCACTCCACCCACATCTCTCTGAACTGGGCACCTTTCAACAGTCTCCCACCAGGTATCTCGTAGTTCCATGCCTCTGCCCTTTCAGTTCATTACTCAAATGTTACTTTCTCATTTGAAATAAAAGGTGTAATTTTTTTTTCTCCTTATCTCTTTTTCTACTGTATTTTTTCCAAGTATTTTCCCTACGCAATAATAGTCTATATTTTATTTAATTTGTAATTTTATGCCCACCTCTCTCCAAGAGCCATTATCAAACTGTAAACTTGATGAAAACCAATATTTTTGTTTTTGCTGTTGCTACTGTATAGCTATATCCCTAGCACTTTGCATTTGAGTTTGGGCACCAGAGTAGGAACTCAATAAATATCTATAGATTAAAAATGAATGGGAGCTGGAGTTGTGGCTCAGCAGTAGAGGCACTGGGTTGGATCCTCAGCACTGCATAAAAATAAATAAATGCCCAACTACAACTAGGAAAAAAAATGGTCAAAGTTTATCTCAAGAATGCCAAAATGGTTTAACCTGGATTTTATTAATGTAATTACACAGAAGTAAAGATTAAAAGGTGGGATTATTATCTCAATATATACAAAAAACTGTTAGAGAAAAATACAATATCTGGTCTTGATCAAACCCCTAGTAAGCAATGAATAGAAAAATATGCAATCTACCAATAGGATCTACCAAAAATCTATTTCACCATACTTAATGATGAAATGGTAGAGGCATTTGTTCTTTTAAGATTAGGAATAAGGTCTGGTAGAACTGAGCGGTGAATCCCTCTGGTCCTGGGCTTTTCTTGGTTGGTAGTCTTTTGATGGGGTCTTCTATTTCCTTGTTAGAA